ACGTGACAGGGGCATTACTAATCCCTTGTGGCATCACTAGCCATTCCTATAGCATGCCGATAGTCGTGCTCACTGCGGTATAGGGTATGTCCCTTTCTCGCATAAGGATTCGATAGAAGCCATCCATCAAATCCATGGACGAAAAGATGGTACTCTTTGACATACCATCAATGATTACGTCCTTCCTCGGTATCGGCGTCTGAGCCGGTACCGTTGCAGCATTCAACTTGTTAAATGCATGCACTATCCGCCACCCTCCTGTTGCTTTTCGCACACAGAAGGTCGGAGAGCTATGTGGGGAAGTTGATTCCCTCACATGACCCGCAGCTAAACGATCGGCAAAGAACTTGTCGATCGCAAGTACTTGTTCACGAGGCAGTGGCCACTGCTTCATGACACAGTACTTCAAGCCTGGTTTAAGCTCGACCTCGTGTCGAATACCTTTATCCTTCGGTAATTCGCACGGAACAGTTTCAGGGAATACATCCTTGAATTCAACCAAATCTTCATAGAGAGGATTTGTCTTGAGCGATTCCCACGATTGGGAGTCATATCGCTCAATTCGTGTCTTTTCATCTAGGACACTCTCGTCCATAGATGAACTACTGAGAACTCTCTCGTTCTCAGTGAACACTGTTGCTGACCTTATGTCGGTTACACACTCGTCGTCAGCGACGAGTACGCAGATCTGCTTGACTTTGCCACTACACAGATCACGCAAGAACCTTTTATGTTCGAGCGTTGGCAACTGAGTGATCTCCGAAGTCAACTTCGTAGGCGCAATCAGGTCTAGTGTATAAGCGCCTACACATGATCCGTTATTGACTAACACATTCAATGTATCTGTCATTTCCTGGGGACTTATTCCCTCAGGCCTTGAAGGACTTATTCCTTCGGCTTCCCGGGGACTTATTTCCTCGGGTTTCGGGGAACTCATTTCCACCGTATTTGTAATATTGGGATTTATTCCCTTAACTTCCTCTAGCTGTGGTTGCGCAACCACAGCGAGATCCTCTACGAAAGACTCTCCAGTCGATCTAGGATTATCATTTCGCTTAACCTGAGCGATCGATTGTTTCTCTTCTAGGTGTTCCCCGCTAGGGATACATCTTTGTCCCGGTCCACTCGACTTATTCGAGTGGTGGACCTTCGGCGCAGCCTGTGTTTCATCACAGCCGCCGGAACTTTGCTCCGAAGTGTAACCGTTTGGTACACTAAGGTTTTGTGCAGTCGTACTAACGATTGTACCAGAAGTGAGGCCATCGCACTCACTCGTAGTACATCCACACGCTTGGAGACGCTTCAAAACGTTCATCAGGTGGCCATCTGATGAACAAGCGGTAGGCATCGTTACTGTTCGATGTTGCCAGTTTACCCGTGGTTAGTACCTTCTGAGCCACGGTATTCCAAGGATGACATCAAATTTGTCATCCAAATCCAATACGTCATCGTCATATTGGGCATCTTCTAGCGTATAGTGGATCTTCACTATACGCTTCATGACGGTTACGGATGCGCCTGTCGCAAGACGTACCGTCATCCTCGTAGGAGGTGTGTCACATTCACTGAATTTAAAGTGACCATCTTCTAGCGATTGGCGTCGCATAAAATTGTTGGACGCCACACAATCGACTAGAGCTCGTAGGGACAATTATTCGTCACTTCGAGTTTCAAGGTAATGAGTGAGACCTCATTACCTAGAGCAGCAACGCACAATATTTGTGTGTTGGGAGAAACCTTAATCAAGAGGCCTACAAATTCTCTTGACGTTGCTAGACCAGTAGGGTACTCCGCACCTACTGATCCTGTCCGTTTTTTGACGGTCCATCCCGTTGTTGCGTCTTTGCACCAAGAGCGGACCCGCGTCCGTGCCCCTTTCTCATGGGTGGACGGTCATTACGCCCAGTGTTGCGAGACACTGGACGAGGGGCACTACACTCGTAAGCGTAGTGTCCTGTCTTTTGACATCTGTTGCATCTCTGCAACTTCTTGTAGCCTGTAGAGCGAACCTTCTCGCTCTCTACATAACAGAGTTCCATCGGCTCTGAACCTCCGCTGTCATATCGTCTCGGTTGACGATATGATGTCGAGCTGGCGCGAGCCTGTCTCAGACTGAAGTCTTCCTGCTCCGCAATAGAAATGGCTTGTTCTAGTGAATCTTGTTCAAGCCGGAACAGGTGAGTCTTGACGGGACCATCCGCAAGACCCTGCATGAACACCGAAACCAACGTGTGTTCATCCACTGGATTGGAACTTATACAACTCGTAAGATGTCGTATGTGTTGAGCGTAAGCGTGCACATCACGCTTACCCTGCTTGAGCTTCAAGAGTTCGGTTCGAGCCCTGAACTCAGCTCTAGGCGGTTCAAACGTTTGTCTGAGCCGCGACTTGAAGACTTCCAACGACCCAAACGCATATGGGTCGTACAGCTTGAGCCCCAGTGCCCAAGTCTTGGCACGTCCTGCCAGATTGGATTGGGCAAATGCAACTTGCATATCCCCGTCGTCGATGCGACGCGACCTTATGGCGTCGTCTAATTCGACAAACCATCTCACGAGGGAGTCCTCTTCGACACCCCTATACTTGGAGATGTCAATCTTCAAAGTCTCGGGTCGACGCGAGTGCATCGACCCACCAGCAGCAGCCTGCTGCTGTCTCAACAGTTCAAACTGTTACGCACCCTATTCCCTCAACAGCTCTACTTGTTGAGAACCTTGTTGGTGAAGCAAGGCTACTTTCTCGCGTTCTGCGTCAAGTTCATTTTGAATGAACTTGGCGATAGTAGCATGTTGGGCATCTCTATTGAGAGCCTCTAGCATGACGCTAACAGCATGGATGCCCATGGTTGAACCCATCCGTCCAACCGCATCCCATTCGACATCGCTCAAATGGGAGTAGCCGTCACGCGTAGCGTGAAAGCTTTGGTCATCTTCATCATCCAACATATTCATGTTGGATGTGAACGTGGTCCTTGGACGGACTACAAAGTGCTACCAGGTGTAACGGGGCACCCTGAAGCTTGTACTGGTGACAGTACAAGCTACTTATTCTGATAACAGAATAAGGCGGTGCCTCGTAACTTCACGTACACTCGTACGTGCAGAGGAAGACGGTAAGAAGAAGCGAGTACTCGGTTAGAGTAAAAAGTAGAACTGTATTTATCATAGTTAATGTCGGTTAATAAATCACTATTTATCCTCGTCTGACTATGTCTGAATACAAATGTGTAAATCAAATATCTGCTCACCACTCATTGCGTGCGTCTGTCGTGGCGCGTCTTCGTTGGTTGATATAATGGCCTGTATCAACCAATTAGGAACTACTCGTAAGTGCTACAGAATACTTGTCCTTATGACATTATTCTGAGAATATAACTCTTATAGTTATATTCTATTAACAATTTCTTATAAATTGTTGTATAACGATTCACCCCGTTACAAACCTGCTCACCACCCATTACGCGCGTCTATCATCGTTTGGTGGTAATCTCGATAAATATGTCTTTTATCAACCAATCTTCGAGCTTTACGTGTATATTTATTGAAGGAATCAATTTCTTTCAATATTATCTATCTCGGGTAATATTGGAAGAAACGTTGCCACTATAGCCAATCTCCCTATTGACACCGTTAAGTGTCAATATCATGTAACGGGATACCCCGTTACACATCAGCCTCTCCTTTACCATAAGTCACCCCCTTTGATTAAATTAAATTGATCGGGGACAGGGTGATCACCGTTGGATCACTCTGGGATAGGAGGGCACTTGTAAGTTGAGTTCAACTCGTTTGCCACTTCATCGCATGGTGTCAAAGTCCATGCGGTTGTCTGCCGAAGCAGTCAGGAAGGCGGCAGTTCCACTCATGCGTTCAGCCGAAGAGAGTACGTTTTAAGCCTCAGCAGCAGGTGGTTGTTCGCCCGCCAATGCAATTTAGCAAGAGGCAGTGCCTGTTGCGACTAGAACACGTGGTGAGTCACCACGGGCGACAGATACATTCGCTGCGTCCGCAGATGGTGCTGAGACTCGCAATTTGGATGAGCCTGAAATAAATCTCATCTATTTAGGCATCCGACTCGAAGGCGGCGCCTCCTGCCTCCGGATCACCCGGGGCAGACACTGCCAGAGCCAGTCTGGCTGGCTCTAGGGAACATGGCGCTATAGTGCCGAGATCTTTGGACCGAAAGATTCGTCTGGCGAATAATTGTCTCACGCAAGTCCATCTGACAAAGGACGCGTGGTGGTGGTGACGCATAGGTGCGTCACCACGAGAGAAGTTACTCCAGGGATCAAGCTGCCACTGGTGTCAGTGCTCATGCTAACACCACACAAGAGGCCAGTGACCGCAATGTCACGTGCCATTCTTCTCAAGTGGTGTCTCCTTGGATGCCAATATCCAAAGAGTTAGATCGAGTAGCCTGTATGGCCACCAAACGGGACCGCATCCTCTTGTTCGACTGTAGGAGGGTCTTTCCATCTAAATTTCAGCATCAAAACTATTCGTGCTGAGGAAGAATTCTTCACCGATGTGTTGTCAGACATCGGTGATTTAATGGCAACCGTGCTCGAGACGGAAATGCATTGGTGCAAGGATGGAATGCCTTCATCCATAACATAGTGCATTGGCCGTGACGCCTGGCTCGGTAGACTTGATACAGCTCGCATCAGGTTTGAGAAGCGTAACCCAGCCGGTGTGCGATACAAGTTGCATTATATGCCAAGAGAGGCAAGATTAACCTGTCTCTTGTGGGGTGGATCATGTCCAGGTTGCCTGTACAACTTGAACTGTGCTCCTATGGAGGTCTACCTCCCTAAAGTTTTCTACCAGAGGGCGCGCATCTCTTCTGAGATGTCCAAACGAATTGACAATTGTAATCCCTGTTTTCGCGTTCGGAAAGGTCATTTCCGCCGGCCCTTCTTCGAATGCAGCGGGTGGTTCTCGCTGACTGCTCGACGAGACCCAGAACATTAACGATCAGCTGGGCACGAGGCTTTAGCTGTCCTACGCCGGTGGATAGCCACGCCAGTGGACGAGGTAACTCGTCCGGACGCCATTCACGTCGCGGTGGCTCAAAATACGCTCAACTAGAAAGAGTTGACCACCGTCTGAGTCCACCAAAGGATGTGGTGGCGGCGGGAACACCTGATCCGGCTCGAGGGTCGGATCAGCTTGACGTTCAGGAGCTAAACCGTGTGACAAACCGGTTGAAAGGTGACCTGGCTCATAAAAGGACTCGGCGTTTATGATCTCCATGATCTTGTAAGGGATAATTACAATTCTCTAGCGCTCGATCGTTCGAACGATCGTGCCGCTTTTTCGTTCGCGCAACTTGAGAACGAACGTTCGACTCGTTCTCTTCGTGACGAGCTGGCTGCAGCTCGTCGAGACATACCTAAACTGCGTGAGCCGGTCGCTTCGGTATTCGACCAGACTGGCTTGTTCAAACGGGACCACTTGAGGGTGATCTTGAATCTCGAACGCGGATGTGTTTTTCGCCTCTCGAAACGGGCTCGTACTGATAGTACGAGCGAACACGTCCAACGTAAAACGTAGAATGCGTATGCATCTTACGGGGCAGTTCATTCTTGTATGCGTTGCCCGTTCGGCGCAACACACGAAATGGACCGATATACTTGGGCAGTAATTTATTGCTGCCCACGTTTGTCACTGTGTTTTGGTAGGTCTACTGTAGACAGCAAAAACTGAGTCTCCTTCATCAAATGAAAGAGCATTTGCTCTTCCATGTTTGTCTGCATTTCTTTTCTGCTTGTCTATTGCATCTGTAATAGAGTCTTGAACGAAGCGGACAACCGCTTCGCAAGCCAGCGGAAATTCCTCTGCTGACTCATCCTTGTCAACAGCAGTGTGCTTCGTGTACTGCTGAAAGAACGTTGTCTTTGCCAGTGAGGCGTCATATTCCTCACTTTGGCAGTCATTGGCGATGCTGAATATACCAGCGTCGTCGTCATCATCATCACTGATATCGATCGCATCAACATCGGCATCCATCACGTCGACACCATTGTCGACGTGTGATGAGCAAGAACCAGATCAGTTTTTGTTCGAGCGGGTCCACCCCCCTTCAACTAGAGTCACACTCTAAAAAGGCGAGTAAACGTGGATGGCTTAGGCCATTCACGAAGAACGGTGTATGCGTTGTCGACGCACGTACCAAGTTGTTGATGGCGAATTCCGCCATCGGCAAGATTTCACTCCAGCGTGAAACGAGTGAACATACCCTGAAGTATCTCTTTGAGAACGCGGTCGACGCGTTCCGTCTGACCATCTGTTTCAAGATGGTCGGAATTTGACATCGTCAAACGTGTTCCAAGTGAACGGAATACGGATTGCCAGAACTCCGCTGTGAAGCGGGGGTATCTATCGGACACGAGTTCACGGGGTTACCCGTGAAGTCAAAAGATAGTATTGATGATGACACGAGCACAAACCTGAACTTTGATGGACTCCGGTATAGTAACAAGATGTACCATCTTTCTAAACCGATTAACAAACAAGAGTACTCGTGTTCTTGTGAGCGTCTGTGCAAAAGACGAAGTCCATCGATACGGAGTACCAGCACTCTGCCGGAATCGGTAGAGGCTGCAAGGATGCTCGTGATGAAGGACTAGGCTTTAAGCGTTGACAAGCTTCGCAAGCGCGAATGTATTTGCGCACAAACTCATACTGGCGGGGTCAGCAGAAGTTACGACTCACCATGAGGTAAGTCTTTTCTCTACCGCGATGTCCACTTGTTGGGGTATCGTGACACTCAGACATGATGCGCAATCTCCAATCATTATGAGCCGGAACGACGACACGAGGTGTGTCGCCGTTGACTGCTGTATAGTACAGCAGTCGATAAAAAACCGAATAACGTTCGGTTGAAAAGTGGCATTGAGACGTCAAGCTTTTCAAAGCTTGACTGCATGGGTTGGCTACACAATCCATCAGTCGCAGAAGAGACTCATCTTCTGTGTATGCGTTTTGCACGTCGTCGAGCAGATTTTAGGACAGCACACTCACTGATAGTGTCGCAACAGTGGGATCACCCCTACTGTTGTGTTGAGCAGTCGGCTCGAAATCGGACCGGCGCGAAAGAGCATCAGCGACGACGTTAAGTCGTCCTGGACTATACTCGACGGAGGAGTTGTACTCCGCGAAGAAATACAGCCACCCCGTCATTCGTTGCGAGAGGTGTGGACTGTTTACGGCCGTGCAAAATGAGGCATGGTCGGTATAAACGATGAAGGGCCTATCTCCTAAGAGATATACCCGAACCTTAGCCAGTGCATATTTCAAGACAATGGCAAGACGTTCCTTTGTCATGCATTGGTTAATTACGCTCAGCTGCTTGCAGCTGAGGCGATTGATAACCGACGACGCGCTCAACGCCGTCTGAGTCATACTGCATCAACGCGCAGCCGATTGCAAAATTGCTGGCGTCACAGACCACGTGGAATGGTCTGTCCCGGTCTGCAATCGCCAACACAGGCGATTGAATTAAGATTTTCTTGATACCCTCGAAGGAGTGCTGACACTCAGCACTCCATGACCTCCTCTCGTTTTTCTTTAGTAGACGAGAGAGATGTACGGTCATCTCGGCGTAGTTGCGCGTGTACTTGTGCAAGTACGCCGCCAAGCCAAGGAACTTTCGAAGTCCCTTGACGTCGACTAGCACAGTCCAGTCGCTAATCGCCTTGATCTTTTCCGGATCAGGACGTACATCGTTCATACCCACGATGAAGCCAAGAAGTGGTATTTCCTTCGCTGCGAATGTGCACTTCTTGAGGTTCGTGAACAACTTATGCTCTCGCATTAGCGTAAGAACCTTCCGGACGTGAATTTTATGAACCTCCACGTCCGTCTTTCCATCCATAGCCCGGCTATGGACGAAGAAATCGTCAAAGTAACTCGGTGCAAACTCTAGCAACGATTGCAACAGATTTGTAACACATCTATCAAACGTTGCAGGGGCGTTACTTAGCCCCTGTGGCATCACTAGCCACTCCCATATCATACCACCGGGGGTGCTCACTGCTGTGTACGGGATGTACCGTTCACGCATGAGGATCTCATAGAATCCATCCATCAGATCCATGGACGAAATGATGATACTTCATGACATAACATCTATGATTACGTCCTTCCTCGGTATTGGCGTCTGATCAGGTATCGTTGCAGCCTTCAATTTGTTGGGCGCGTGTACTATCCGCCAACCTCCTGTTGAATTTCGCACACAGAAGGTCGGAGAGCTGTGTGGGGATGTTGATTCCCTCACATGACCAGCCGCTAAGCGATCGGCGAAGAATTTGTCGATCGCTGTGACCTGTACACGAGGCAGTGACCACTGCTTCATGACACGGTATCTCTAATTAGATTTCAGTTAAATATCATGCCGAGTGCCTTTGTCCTTAAGCAGCTCGCATGGCACGGATGAATGGGAAAAACATCCGTAAATTTGACCAAATCCTTGCACAAAGGACACGTCTCTAAAGACTCCCAAGATTGAGACGTGTATCGCTCAATCCGGGTCTTCTCATCGAGGACACTCGCGTTCATCGATGAGCTACTGAGAACCCATTCGTTCTTAGTATACACTTAGGCGAGCCGAATATCGGCGACGTGCTCGTCCTCAGTGATGAATACACAGATCTGCTTGACTTTGCCACTACGTATATCTCGAGAGGATTTCTCAGATTCTAGCGTTGTCGACTTGACAACATCCAAATCTGACTTTAGAAGTGTAGCCAGATCAAGTGTATAAGCGCCTCACTGGTTCGGTGTCTATTGGGAAAACACATCCGCAGGTGGTTGGGGATCCACACCCTCAATATAACTCTCTCGGAAGTTCTCACTCTCCGGAACACTTGGACTTTCTTTCAATACGCGTACTGACTGTGGGTGCACGATCATAGTCACGTCCTCTTCGATCGACTCTCTTTCAGTCGAGCGGGCTTGCTCTACGATCGACTCTCTGAAAGTCGATCTCGCTTCAACGTGTTGTTCATCCTGAACGACACTAAACTCTCTTCTCGGATGCACCCTTCCTGGTGTGCATCCGTGTTCCAGTCCACTCGGTCTCTTCGAGTGGTGGTCCTTCGGCGCAGCCTGTGTCTCTACACAGGTGCCGGAAGCTGGTTACACAGTGGCCTTCTACAATGTTATCTTGTGCAATGGTACTAGCGTACCACAAGTGAGGCCATCACACTTACTCGTAGTACATAAATACGCTTGTGAAAGCTCCAAGACGCTCACCAGATGGCCATCAGACAACCAAACGGCAGGCATCTTCAGGATCGATGCTGCCATCTGCCGCATGGCTTGTATCTTCTAAGCCATGGCAGAACGGGAGTGGCATCAAATTTGTCATCCAAATCTAATACGATAAAGGCATCATTGTACTACTTTCCTTCTAGTGTGTAGTGGATTCCCACTACACGTTTGTTTACTGTTACGGATGCGCATGTAGCAAGGCACATCGTCATTCTTGTTGGACAGATCTCTCGCTTAACATACTTGAGTCTACCGACCTCGAGCGACTGGTGTCGAATGAAACTGTTCGACGCACCACAGTCAACTAGGGCGCAAAGTGACATCCCACTTGTTAATTCTATCTTCAAAGTGATGAGAAACACTTCATCACTAGGGGCAGTACCACACACCGACTGTGTGTAGAAAGCAAACTTCGTCAAGAGTCCTGAAAAAAACCCTTGACGTTGCTAAACCACCAGGGTGCTCTGCCCCTGTTGATCCTTACCGTTTTCAGGTGGTCCGACGTGCTGTAACGGTCTAGCGGCATGTTCGGGTCCGCGCCTTGGACCATTTCTCGGCCAAAGGCGGTCATCACGTCCTGTCTTTGGACGTTATGAGGTCCTTAAGACACTACACTCACGAGAGTAGTGCCTAATCTTCTGACAGCGATGGCATCTTGCCTTTCGCTTATGACCCAGAGAGCGAGAGTTCTTGCTCTCGATGTAACAGAGATCCATAGTTTGGGATCCCGTTTTTTTTCGTCTCGTCGGACGATAATTTGACGAGTTAGCCTGAGACTATCGCAGACTGAATTCTTCTTGCTCCGCATACGCTATCGCCTTTTCCAGCATATGGAAGTCCTCTCGGAACATGAGGGTCTTCACCGGCCCCTCCACATGGCTGTAAATGAACACGTTGATGAGCGTGTGCTCATCAACAGGTTTTTTCGTAATGCTACTCGCAAGGTAGCGCTTTTGCTGTGCGTAAGCGTGCACGTCACGCTTACCTTGCTTTAGCCTCAGGAGTGCAGGGCGTGCTCTGAACTCGGCTTTTGGTGGCTCAAAGATTTCTTTTAGCCGAGACTTCAAGGTCTCTAACGACTCAAACACATTTAGGTCGTGAAGCTTGAGCCCAAAGGCCCAAATGTTTGCTCGTCCTGTCCAATTCGACATGGCAAAGGTGACTTGCATCTCATCACCCTCGATGTGACGGGCCCTGATGGCGTCGTCTAACTCGACGAACCATCTCAAAAGAAAATTTCCATCGGTTCCCTTGTACCTTATGATATCAATCTTAAAAGGTTTCGGGTCGACGCGTGTGCGTCGGCCCGCCCATCGACTGATGAGTTTTTTGCTGTTCTAGCAAGGCTATCTTCTGTCGTTCGACGGCAACTTCCCCGTGTAGGAACTTGTTAATAGCGGCATGTTGTTGGTCTCTGTTTAGAAACTCCAACGTGCACTGATGGCGGGTTCGCCCATGAGGACACTAATGCGGCCGACTACCTCCCACTCTGAGTCACTCAGATAAGAGTAGCCTTCACGTGTGACGTGAAAGCTGTCGTCTTTTACGTCCAACATGTTTATGTTGGGCGGACACTAAGAAGTCGTTGGACGGACTACAAAGTGCTACCAGGTGTAACGGGGCACTCTTTGTTTGGGGTGCCACGAAACTTCACGTACACTGGTACGTGCAGAGGAAGCTGCTTTACTCAAACAGCTAGTTTGAGGGAAGGTAAAAAGAGAACTGTATTTATCATAGTTAATCTATCAAAATGACTTCAGTCTCTAATTAACTACGTTAATCTACATTGTTGTACGACGACAACCTGCTTACCACTCATTACGCGCGTCTAGCAGCGATTGGTGGTAACCTCGGTTGATATGTCTTTTATCAACCAATCTTCGAGCTTTACGTGAATATTATCTGATAGAATCATTTTCCTTTAATATTTTCTACCTCGGGTAATATTGGAAGAAATATTTTCACGATAGCCAATCTTCCTATTGACACCGTTTAGTGTCAATATCATGTAACGGGATACCCCGTTCTACATCAGACGTTCATGAAAACCCCGATGTTATTTTTGTGAGAAACAGAGAATAGGTGGATCGAAAGCTCACGACTTTGGGCAAACGTTTGTAACGGTGTAACCCTGGTGCATGGCATCCTGCGTGAAAAACGTTCAGCTTCCTCTTCACTAATAATGGAGCGTCCTGAGGAAGTATCTTCACAGCTCCATGGCTACTGGGAGCGTCTGGGGTTAAGTATCAGCGAACTTTTATAATTTAATGGAGAGGAATCAATGGAAGCGTCAAGACTAAAGAAGAGATCGACGGTGGGATTTAAAAGGATCAATATCGGAAGCAGCTCCACCCGATATAAAGCTTTGATGATCACCATAATGTAGATGATATAGTAAGAAACGGAAATGAAGACTGCCGGAGTAAATTTATCGGACGTTCCCTAAACAATTATTTTTGATATAGTTTAAATAAACGAAATGGTAAGCTTAAACTGCATAGAGGTATAAGCCTGTGCAGTGGTCGTGCCGGCACCAGTGAAATAAAGTGGCCTGGGTTTAACCCCCTAACGGAATTTCAAGACCAACTCAAGGTCCTTAGAATGTGTTAAAAGGTAATTACCTAAGTCTCAATATTAATACCCGGAAACTCTGGTACCACTAATCTGTAACCTCTCGAAGAAGCATGACCCCCGAAAACAAACAGTCGGGGCATTTGGGACTGGCTGCTCCCAGAGTTCGGTTAGTAACAGGTCCGTCGCTCGGCACGACAGCCGCGATCCGGGACGGTATGTGTAGCCCCCCCCCCTGAAGAGGACGGTAAAGGGTTGTAGAATGCCTAAATTTACCGACGAACCGAAGAACAAAAAATCAATCTAAGCTCCAGCTATATAGCGACACGTGTATGTGCATAAAACGTATTCTTTTATTACTCTAATGAAAATTATCACTGTACTGTATGAATAAAACTGGTATCGACTTATATCGATCCTTTAATTTTTCCTAATATTTTTATTGAGTCACGTTATTATTAGATGCAAATGCATCTTACGTGCAGTCTGTGTGGTCATGTACAGGAATAAATGCGATTTCTCACATAGAGAAATTTAGTTCATACAGCAAATATCAAAAGTGTGTATTGATCAAAACAGAACGGAGCTGAGTCTAGTGCGGTGTAACGGCTGCTGACCCTATCATGCCCATCTTTTGCAATACAGAGTATACATTTGTGTGATAGTGACACATACATACAGAGCGATAGGTGAGGAAAGGTACCAATTGATGTGCACATTGTGACACAATGACAACGGAGAGCAACCGTGAAGCGAGGCTAGAATTGGTAGCATGGATGTCATGTGCTACCAATTCTGGCCTCGCTTCACAGAAAAGACCCAGGATGTGTTAATATATAATTCTCACGATGTGGTATATTGTACAGTACATTCATACACCATCAAGACTGTATGGATTTTTGACGCAATCTAAGAGAATTTGGCATGTGTGTATCACTGCGCAGCATTTATGCCGCCATGTGCTTCTGCGCAAATTCGTCCTAGTGCTGAAATGCTCCAAGTCGTAAGCTGTTACCGAAAATTATTAAAGCTACAGCAAATCTCGTGGCCAGGAAATCATGCCATGTCATTATCATGTGTGAACAGTATCAGCTTCTTGAAACTGTAATTTCTTTCGTATGAGGCTACAAAATGGGCGTTGAATTAATAGGCGTCATAAACCTTTGGAACCGCCAGTCGCTGAGGTTGCGTCTGTCGGATGGCTAGTCTCCACCTCGAGCTTTGTCAAGCGATGCGTCAAACACGACTTTAATTAATAAGTTTAATTGCACAGTCTGCCTATTTTAATAATGGAATGATGTACAACACAATCTGGTGTTCAGCTGATTCTCGCTGCCACAATTGAAAAGGTGTCGCTAGCTTCCTCATGTTTTGTAAACGATAAGTCGACGATAAGCAAGATGCTACAAACCATTACACAAGTTTCAATATTGAACTAGTAGAATCTGTGGCGAGAATTGTGAAAACGAAAACAAATGAGCGCCTATCGTCCTCTTGAAGTTGTTCCTTTCTGTTCACTACATGTAAGCTTCTATAGGCACATACCCTAGACTACTTCGGTCGATCTTAAGAAGATGTAAAGCAGCATTCATTACACGTACTTTAGTGTCACACTTTATCTAATCGTCTATTAAAGCATCTTGGTAAACCCCTGTTTTGTGGCGGTTGAATGCGTGCCCATGTTGTTGCAACATGGATCTTCAATGGCAGGTACAACCCTAGAGTGGCCTATGTTGCGTGTCCGCAACTTTGCAAGGATGGCAGTTTTTGCTTCACACTAATTGTCGCCTCCATATCAACACAATAGCGTTATCGTGCATCCCATATTTAGATTGCATCGCTCGTGCCCATCGTCAATGTGCCGCTAACACTTCATTGTATACCTAACAACACCGTAGCAATTTCTAAAAAAAAGAGAGGAGCCAAGCTCTGAGTCATTTTATAAACCCGTAGAATAATACTAGTTTTCATTGCCTGTTGCTACTTCTCATTATTTTATTAGTTACAGAATGATTGACCGGTCTTTGCATTAAGCCACGCAATTTTTTTAAGTTTAGATTGCACGCTAATGCACCCGTATCAAGTCTAATTATTGGCAACGTTTGGCATGACCTTACCACCTGGTACTGGGATTCTTACTAAGTTCATTTCGGATACTAATGTTGAGTAAGACCTAAGCACAAAAATGTTTTGATTTCTTACCATACTATGTAGATAACACCATCCCTACGGAGATTGTCCAATTTTTGACAATTATTTGTCGTACAAGAAAACTCGTGCGTCATCATGGCTGCTTTGTTTTCAAACTAATAAACATGTGGTCACTTGCGTCTTTGTGCTTTTGAGATGACGCCCTGTTAACACCGACGTGGGCTGAACTTATATCGAAAATAGTAAAATAACACGCTTTGGTTGTCGACAGCATGTTATTGCGATCAAAGTCCTCGAATACATGCTAAATTTCGCTTGACATTGTCCGAAAACTATCAACTTCTAATGCGCGTGCTTCTCTTCTCTCCGTTCGCGCAATATCATTCTGCAAAACAGCTAAGGCCATGACTAGACCCTTACGAGCCGACAAATATACCACATCTTTAGTTGCGACCAGAAAAATTACAGGATCCGGATAATATAATTAGATAACAACTCAGCCCGGTTCAATTTCTTTCTACAATGGCTTTACAACTCTGTTACAAGCAGTGACTGTAATGTGTCATTCGACCCTCGTTGCTTGATTGACATTCACGCTAGCTCTAAAATTGTACCATTTCTTCGTCTTCAATTCGTTTATGCAAGTTGAGTATCAGCATGTCAAATAGAAATTCCATTTCTTGTGTATATAGGATAATATCTTTCTAGATGTAGATCATTGTATTTGTATTGAAAACAGGTCTTGATATGAAGGTCGAAAATGCATGGGTTTAACCCTACCACACACAGCTACTGATAGCATCGATCAAGCTCTATTAGAACCTGAAAGGCATACTTCTTGTAAGAAGTTGGTGGCTGTTTCGCACATGTGCTGATGTGCTGAAGATCTAGGAAGTAAACAATTCTTTGTAAAATGTTCTCGATTGCCAGTACTACCAATAACAAGTTCGAAGGCACTGCAACTTGACCTAAATTACTTAGCATAAAGTGTACACCTCTTCCAGTTACATGCGGTATCTTGAAACGTGATGCCCGCCCTCCCTATTCTCATCTGTCATTTTGTCGTGTGGTAGTCAACCCTTGTGTCCCATAGACCCAAGACGTAAAAAACCAGCCAATCAGGTGACGTCATATATTACCTGCAACTGTCCTTTCACTTAGACCTCAAATACGCCACAATCTGTCAGAACCGATAACTTTTGACTTTCTTTATGCAATGCTGTGTACATAACAATATTTCCGGTCATTTGGCCCTCCCGACTGATCGATGCTACTAAGCCAAATTAACGAGGTACACATGACGTCAAACATTTAAAATTCATTACGAGACTTAAATGAATCCTGTACACTTACATCTTTCTCTTTTGACAAAAATCTCAGGACTGTCCTACCATGTGTTATCTCATCTACAAAACTACAATGCCTGATG